ACGAAGCATTCCTCGAGTTCGGTAGACTTTATTAAAAGAAGCGGATGTGGGGGTAAGTATTTTAAGAGGAACCCGCCGCGAGTCGATTCAAATAAAGGAAATTATTAAGAGCTCCTTGAGAATAAAAACGCGATAGGCGGAAGCCGTTCGGTGTATAGTCTGTGAAGTGTCCGACATCACCATATTGAGTTACATTACGTAGCAATGAGCTAGTGTGATTCGTGCGAGGGTTTAACGTTTTTCGACGTCGAAAATTATATAAGGATCGATCGCGGTACGAATAACAATGCGATCCGTGTAATCGATTACGATACGAATTTAATTATCGATGTTTCGATTCCTGTTTCGGTTCGTGTTTTTGAAGTTACGAGTTGTGTATAGTTAATTACTTTCTAATGTGATTACTGATTGTCGTTTGTAAAAACATTGTTAGTTCACACGCGACAATGAGTCGAGAACGGGATCGGATTATAGCGAGGTGCGTTACCACACTATTGTTTTGAAATTAGAATCATTTATGACGTCACTGAAACAGCGTTGATTTCTGCGAATGACATTCCCGTTTTCGTTTTTTTTTATAATGACGTCAAACTGCAAAGAGATTGCATACTTTCATTTAAACGCCTCAGTATATTTAGACCGTGAAACAGTTTTACGAAACATGCAAAATAACTAACAATCTCTAGAATTAGTTACGCCGTTGCTTAGTCTACTTATTCGACAAGAAAGACGCGTGTTTCTTCACTTAACGACACAAATACATTAATCAAATGGGCAGCGAGCCTTTTTGTTTCGGCGTTGTCCATATGAAGTTCCCTACACCTGAAGTTCGGTTGTAGTTTGACTAGTTTTTGAAGGCGGCCAAAGTTACACTACTTCTATTAATAAGGCCCTTTAAGTTTGTCTGAAAGTTGTCAGTGGCGAGGCCGGATTTTTATGATTTTTTTTCGTTCCGCCTGTCCCTGATAAACACATAAAATACATTAATATGTGACCATAACATGTTTTCGTGATTTAATTAACCCTAATTAAGTTAAAACTTTTCCCTGCGATCTCACGGTAAACAAAAACTGGATTAATTTCTTTCGTGTTCCAAATTTAATTTATATGAATTGGCTTCCCCGAGTCGGCCATATTATTGTAATTGTTTTCATTCTAATTAAAATATCACATTTCTCTTGTAGATTACATCAAAAGATGTTAACGTTTGATTTTTATTTGAGAAACTGACCATGAAAAAAGTAAAATTGATTGTTATTATAAAGGTCCGTGAACTAATTATGTGTTTGAAGTTGAACCTTGTAAAGGCCGTGCTACACGCAGCAGTTTTTGTGGAAAGGCCTGAATGAGCGGCCTTCGTGTGCCTTGTGGGAAAGTGACTTGCTTAAATCCCGCACATTGTTACTAAACGTCCAGGTTAAATTATTTGCTTTCTATCGAATTTAATTTACTAGGAATCTTATGAAACTATTTTAAATAGCATCGCCATTTTTTTTTTAATATTTAGCAATACTGACATTAAGTATTGAATATAATTGCCTAATAATAGATGTTCAATGCTTTGTAATATAAAACGTAACAATGGCGCCGATGAGTAAGATCTCGCAATACAGATCTCTGGGCCTATATCGTATAGTTCACGGTCAAAGTGAGATCGACGCGTGCGCGGAAACACACTTTGACATTTGCATTGGATTTCGCAGGTGTAAGTACCAGAAATATTGACTTAGAATTATCAATGAACCATTGTCGTGCAGTGGAACGGGAACGTTCATGCGATCGTGGGGTGTGAACAGCCCTCGCATTTAGGGCGCGCACCGTTGACCTTTCGTTTACAAAGTTGACGCGGCATTAAGTTCTGTACTTACTGATAATCCATCTCTCGTGGTCTCTTGCGTCCGGACGGGCTGACTGCACGCCGGGTACAAGTCGTGATGGTAAAACAAGAATTGTTTTGTGAAATAAACGAAAACCCGCCGCCCGAGCGCAACGTTTGAATACAAATAAGTGTTGCGTTCGGAGTGAGCCATCTTGTTCTTTTAAATGCCTCGTGATAAATGCGTTTCTATGCGTCGTTAACTCGCGCGCCGCTTTACTCTTGTAATTTCAATGTTCGAGGTTGTCAGTAATATTAATATGCTTACGACCTGCTATCCGGTCGGGTCATCTAGCACCGATTTATTTCACGAGGGATCAGATAATGTTCGGATGCAGTTGGGTTTAATGTTACCCCGGTCGGGTTGAATTTCAAAATATTGTGATGTTCGCCGCGATGGCCCTCCAGTTTTTTTTATTGCTTAGATGGGCGTACGAGCTCACAGCCCACCTGGTGTTAAGTGGTTACTGGAGCCCATAGACATCTACAACGTAAATGCGCCACCCACTTTGAGATATAAATTCTAAGGTCACAGTATAGTTACAACGGCTGCCCCACTTTTCAAACCGAAACGCATTATTGCTAACGGCAGAAATAGTTAGGATGGTGGTACCTATCGGTGCGGACTCACAAGGCGTCGATCAGTAATTACGCAAATTATAAATTTTCGGGTTTGATTTTTATTACACGATGTTTATTCCTTCACCGTGGAAGCCAATCGTGAACATTTGTTGAGTACGTATTTCATTAGAAAAATTGGTACCCGCCTGCGGAATTCAAACACCGGTGCATCGCTCAACACGAATGCACCGGACGTCTTATCCTTTAGAGCACGACGACTTCAATAGGTTAAATTTGTTCAGTTAGGTTAGCTTCAGATAGGTAAATCTGTTCGGAGTTACTTGAAACGCGGAGGAGTTCAAGCACATTCACCTGGCATCGGACCGCGGAGGCGCGTACGCATCAGCCGTAACGGGTGCCCATACACAAGTGCATTACGCTACATATTTATTCGTGCGGGCGATATGGTTCGTGGACCAGGCCGCATCGGCGTCCGTCGATGACCTCGTTGTAAAGAAAAAAGATGTGCGGTGCCGTGGGACACCGGATAGGAACGAAGTTCCTTATTATAAAAATATTAATTGTAAGTTCTATTCGAGGTATAAAGAAAATAAAACTGGAGGTTCCGCAACAACCCACGGTCATTCGGTAACGTGCGAGCTCTGAGATCGTGGTCAACGAATGATAAAAAAAAAATGTAATTTTTTGTACGTTATTACAAAGTTATGTCGTACACTGTGTGCATTACTAATAAAAATCTTACGTTACGGACGTTTTTTCCCGGTTAGGGTACCTCTCCGCACCGTCCCATAAGAAACTTCGTTCCAAAAAAAAACGTCTCGGAATCTTTGCGTGTTCGACGTGCGCTATAGTGCTGAACATAAGTCGAAAAATTTTGATGCGGAAATGCCGATGCCCGTAGCATATGGTGTTGGATATCTGCGTCACAATCGGACGGGTCACATATGGGAGGATTACGACCGCTACGACAGCGGGGCTGAGGCTGTCACGGCCCGAAACACGATAGACCGTCTATTTCCCATTCCGCATCACTTTCGCTCAATTGATCGCACGTCAACACATGTCAGCTACGAGCCGTAGATGGCTCCATGTGAAATTAAACAGGAAGTTTCAATTTAGCGACAATTCATTTGGAATGATACTGGCTGTTGCCGGACGCGTAAACGTTGTGAAAAAAAAGCAAAAAAAAAAAAACGCTTCGAATTCTATTCGCGTTGTGTGTTTTCCGAAGTCTACCTGATGTATCGTTTAGTGACCAAATGTCACGTTTTCTCCAGATGGTCGGGGCTCGTTGTGCAAGCGGCCCGACTCGGAGCCGATTGTTTGTTCAAACATCACGGGACGGTACGATATTTGAAGCCGCTAAATAAAATACAAACAGCACTCGAAGCCTGTGTGCTTAGTGCGAGTTTCTTAACGTTCTCGATAGCGTAAAAGTTAACTCCCATACCCGATCTTGTGGACCGAATGGTAAACAGTTGACGTCGCCCTAAACACGTCATTACGGATCCTCCCGATCCATTAACGATGCTTTTAGGTACCTCAAGCTGCGGTCACCGTCCTCACCGAACCAGTCGCTAGCGACGAAAGGCTCGGCGAGTAAATTAACCCATAGGCACATCCCATTGAGTTTCTCGTCCGGATTTTCTCAGTGGGTCGCGTTTCCGATCCGGTGGAAAATTCTGCGAAGCACTCTTACTAGGGCCAGTGTTAGCAACACCTCCGGTTTGAGCCCCGAGAGGTCACCTACACGATATGGTAACGCTGATATAGCCTCTCGAGGCTATTAGCATAGGTAGGAAAAAAAATCCATACAAAATTGAGTTAACTTTTACGCTATCGAGAACGTTAAAAAACTCGCACTAAGCACACTGTAGTGTCCGTGAGAGGCTGGATTGACGCGACCGAAACAACCGTAACTAAGATCCAATTAAGATGTCCGTTATCCTTGGAAAACGATAGATAGATCCGAGCGAGATCTGTAAATAAATAACCTGCAATTACAATATTGAATCACGACCGGCCAATTTATTTTAATGGCTCGGCGAAGGGTAACCGCGCACCGCATAGCTTACATTCGTTACTTACGTATAGCAAGTTCATAATTGATTTAATGGTAATTAATTACAGGGACGTCCCCGGTTTTCGCGAGACGGAAACGTAATTAAAAGTAATTTTATAATACGTTCACGTTAAACTATTCGAAAACTCGTAAATAAAATAACGCGAGATTAAACCGTAAAATTATTATTTAATAAGATTAATTATTGAATGTTGTGCCCAAGCGGTCGCTCGTTAGAACTTCAAATTTAATAATCCCTTAATTTCTTTTACTATTATTTACGATAAATGAGATAGATGCCACGTATCGGCCTCCGCTTTGATTGGAATTCGAATGTCAGAATCCATAGACAAGACTTGATTTATTGTTGCAGTGTTACTGCACATTTTACGATATATTGATTTTGAGTGTTGCCTACAAAATTGATGAGTTCTGTTTTTGAACGTTCGAGAGATGAGAGCGATAAAATTTGAGACTCACCGGCCACGTGAAGTCGAAGGGGAACACGATCGGATTGCTGAATCCTTCCACGTTGAGGTTGGGCACGTCCAATGAGTTCCCGCCCAAAACCGGTGTCGTGATGTCGCCGAAGGTGCACGGCGACGTCGTGTCGATGTTGGCTTGATAAATCTTGAGACACACTCGGAACTTAGTCCTGCACGGCGCCAAACACGGCGCATCACTTTTTGAGGAACCATCACAGCACTGGCCACTACTTAACCTACCCAAGGAGTTCGTAAAACTTTTTATCCTAAGTTCAAAAAAACCAGACGTCAGCACCTGAAAAAAAAAGAAAAAAAAACTATTAGTATTTATTCAAATATTTGCAAACGGAACGTTAAGAGTGTGGAGAGAACACATTGATCCGATATATCAATATCGTTGTGACAGTACAAACAGACTAGGCTATACAGCTTTCAGCTTAAGGAGATGTATTCTCGAACTATTTGCACAACTGTCCACGCGATCGATCCCGTTGAGACATTAACGGTTACACTGGACAGTTTATGTAGGTCGTCAAAAATGGGGTTGCGACGCGTGTGGGGCGCTTCGACACCCCTAACCTGAATCGAAATTCGAACGTTATGCCAACCGAACTATAAAAATTTATGTATTTTCCTTTCTTTTTATAAATGGAACTGACAAATACCAACGCCCCCCGCTTTGTTTTAAGCGATCCGGTGTTGCCAGGGCTACCGATTTTTGTAGAAAAAAAATAAAGATTCTTTAGAGTCGTTGATAGATCGACAGACGTCAACAAGGCTTGTTTTTTACCGCTTATGAATAATAATAACTGGTTTTTGTTGCCCTCCAGGGTGCTCAACCCTTACACTAATGAAAGAATGTGCAGTTGGTCGCGCCGCATACGTGGGGTCAACTAGTTTTAAAGTAATGCATTAGGGCTTATTCGTGAATTCATTAAAAAAAGTACACCTTTATTTTTATATAACGTGTTTTATTTTTTCGCTAAGAAACACCGGAGGTATCCTGTTATACGGCATCGGAAGGAAGTGGCTAAGTATATCTATAATACAGCAATCGATTTATTGAAGTATAATGATACACGGTCGTTTCATATTTTGCGGTAGCCTCGTTTGATGTTAGCGATGAAAGAACCATTTTCCCTTGTGTACTAATTAATGCATTACTTGTGATTATGAGTTAAGGGCCGTAAAACTGTACAATAGTCAGCGTCAGAATTGTCGTGATTCAATTTTTAATTGTTATGTTTATTACCGGTAATTTTTTTTTTCATAAATTTAGAACATTTTTTTTATGTTAGTCTCATTTGATGCATACAAGAGAACAAAGTTTAGCATTCAAATTAAGTCTTCATCATACAAATGATAGGTTGTCGGGTTGACAGTAACCAACCCCCGTTTAAACAGAGCTGCGGTAAAAAATACACCAGATTTCAACCGACTTCCTGCCAGTGACGGGGGGGTTGAACGCGAAAAACAAAGACCTCTCTTTCGATTCGGTAACACATGAGAAGGACGGTGGTATTCCGTATCACTTCACACATCCACGTGATCGCGTCAGGTAGGAGCGGAACCACAAAAAAATGACCAAAAAAAGATACAGCACTCTAAACACATACCCTCTTTTATTTTTTTTTAGTTTATTGTTTATTAAACTAGTTGTGGTAGCGCCGATACGGATGATGGATTACGGCTGGCCCTTGTTTTACGGCAAGTTCTGATTGAACTCATCAATTATTTTGATTTCAAATCAAACTTCGTTAAGTCCGCATTCGAAAGAGTGGTGAGTGCTGAAATGTTCACGGCTAAACGATCGTTTGTCCTTCTCAATAGCACGGCCGATTACGGTAAAATCAGAAAGAAAAAAAATATAAGTGGATTTGAAAACAAACGGGTCGCGACCAACCGGCGATCAGCCTGAGGCGACCACAGACTAACAATTAAATAATACTTACCGACTACCGGATAAGTTATGTTTTATTATGTCTTCGGGCGCATTTGACGCGGTGAATCTCTGATTGATGCTGTTCGTAAGCTTTTAAGGACTTTTTGGCGGGAACACGAGGAGTGAAGTTGTGTGATTTGTTTTATTTTGTCCATTTAGTGTTTCTTCAGGTTCAAATGTGTAATAAAGGTGGTTTATTAACTGTTTAATATCTGTGAAAGTGTACAAATGTGGGAAAATAAAACAAAGCCGCTGGACGTAACTTCTCGGGATCCTCCAAAAAGTCCATGTAAATGACCAACATTTTACTGAGATTATATATCATCCGATATCATCTCATCTCATTTCATTTAATTTCATCTCAGTTGATTAATGTCTCAAATTAATTATATTCATTTCATTTCATTTCACTCCATATTATCATGTTTCATAAAAATAAGATAATAAATTAAAATAAGACATGACCTAAAGGTCTTAGTTACCAGGTCATAAAATCCCTTTAAAAAATAAGTAAGCTTTTAATGAATTTCGAACTTTTAGTTTTTCCTTGATGCCAAACAGTTTTATTGTCATGGGAACAACGCTGATGTCGTTTTTCGTTTAACGTATAATATTACGTTTTCGGTCGACGCTATTAATCAAACGAATCAAGCCGATTACCATTGTCTGGTTACAAAACAGAATTATTTATTTATTCTGTTGCAATGCTGCCAACATTGAGATCTCGTAATGTTTATAACGTTCCGTTAGTGATGGTGAAGTATTTCGATGTGTGCCAGTAATCAATTACACGTGCGCTTAATTTATTTTACACACAACTTCAAGTTTAATGTATTCGACTTTAAGAGTCGTGATCATCGAAATACTCTTTTTTTTTTTGTATTCACGTCCGAAACCTAAGTAACATTAATTGAATCGATCAATGCAGCCTTCAAAATCGATTCGAGCGATGAATGCTATCTGAAATTCACAGTCTCTTTATTTTAATAGACGCATTCCCATTACTACCTGTTCATAGATTTAAGAAAACTGTCAAGGAACGTTTGTGCAACAAGGCATATTATAAAGATAAGGATTATTTACTAGATGGCACTACGTGGGAATGAGGCGTTCGCTCCTGGCCTTTTCTTATTTTGTTTAATTGTATTTTTTGACTTGTTTTTTCCTTTATTGTATACATATTTTAATTTATTTAAAAAAAGAAGTAAATATTTGAGAAAAAACAAAAAAAAAACCGCTGAGTTTGTTTCGCCGGTTCTTCTCAGGACTGTGGCTTTTTTTGGAACCGGTGGTAGAGTTAACATTGTTATTTATATTTTGACATTCAACAAGTGTGTTATACTGACATCTAAGTTCAAATAAATGATTTTGAATTTGAATTTGAATTCGTTACGGTCGCTCGTATATTTGTAAGTAGGTACAATGCTGGGAGCATATGTTTCGAATGGGCACTTTATAAAGATGCGCGCCTGTCGACGTGAATTTCATTGTGTTTCACTCGAGTAAGCGCTTAGGCCAGCGCTGTGAGCGTTTGTCTAAAAATATCTCAATTAATAAAACACAGGGGAACGTGTTTCGTGTCTCGCGGTTATCCACACACGCGAAATGTGTTAAAATAAATAAATACCCAAACAGGGGCCTATTATGAGAGCGGCGACGTGGCCGGTGCAATTCGCGATTCCAAATTTAACGTTGCGTATGATTTATTTTTCATTAGAGCTTATTTTAAATTTCAGTCTCGGACGCTTTTTACAGCAGATGTTTTTCGATGCGTTCGACCTTTTTTTTTAAACAGCCCCGCTCTTGATACTTGACTTTTAATTAATTGTTTTTTTTTTAAAGAACACATTTTTGAAGTTGATATTACACATCTGATCGACTACTAATTAGTTTATCGATTTTTCTAATAACAGTCTCGGTGTTAGTACAGTTAACTGGAGACGGGTGTCGGATAACTATACAGGGCTCGGACCGTATCAGGGAATGTGTTAAGGAGGAAAAGAAAAGGACTAAATCGAACAAAACGTTACGCCGGCGTGCGGCGACAAGAGTCGCAATTCTCTTTTGTTGATTTCGCTTGCAGCTGCTTCGCACAAAAGGAACTTATGTACTTTTGAGTGTAACGTTTTATATATCGAAATTACGATTCACACCCCACTGAGTTTCTCGCCGGATCTCCTCAGTGGGTCGCGTTTCCGATCCGGTGGCAGATTCTGCGAAGCCCCGTGAACTCACCTACACATCAAGGAGCTTGTATGGGTGGACGAGCTCACAGCCCACCTGGTGTTAAGTGATTACTGGAGCCCATAGACATCTACAACGAAAATGCGCCACCCACCTTGAGACATAAGTTCTAAGGTCTCAAGTACAGTTATAACGGCTGCCCTACCCTTCAGACCGAAACGCATTACTGCTTCACGGCAGAAATATAAGCAGGGTGGTGGTACCTACCCGCGCGGACTCTCAAGAGGTCCTACCACCAGTAAATATCAGCATAGATAGGGAAAAAAAAAAAACGATTCACTGCGTTCATAGTCGCTCGTCGAAGCGATCGCGTTAAATCTGAAATCGTTTTTGCCCGAGACGTTATTAAATTTGGAATTAGTAGTGAGTGAATTGCGAATGAGTATCGCGTAATCTACTGGGATAGTAGGTGGATTGCGCGCATCGTGTACGCTCAGTGCGTAAGACTTTTGCGGTTATTTAAACGTGGAGCCACAAGGTAATTGTAATTTCGTGCATAGATGTACTTACTACACGCGGCCGGCTCTCTCGTGCCGGTATCATAAACCAGATCTTTTTAGTTCGATTGTTATTGGGATTAGAATCGACGCGGCGACGTGTGAAGCGTTCGCCTCCGCCAAGACGAACAGAACTTATTAAAATTCTTTCGAATGCATTTCGGATTGTCATTCAGTTTTATAATTCGACGCGGACATTAACGCGTTATTAAAAAAAGAAAATACAATTAGCGTTTATTGTTTTTTTTTTTTAATATCAACTTGACGCTTTGGCTATAAATTATTTTGTATTATTTACGTTTTAAGTTAACTTTAATTTGCAATCATGCATTAAGCGCGGCAATTTCATTTTAGTTACGTAACTGGATGTTAAACTTTAACACGGCGCGTTTTTTATCGCCTTCCTTACATTTGTCATATTAATATTCGAATATTCATATCTGTCAACTAACGACCTTAACTTTCAACCCACGTGCTTTTAGAATGCTCGACTCATCTGTTCGCTATGCCTAAACTATTGTGCAGTTGCGAAACCTACACCATGCCAGTATCTCTGACACGTTTACCCAATTCGGAATTTAATAATTCGTACTGGCAACATTAAACAATAGGATCTTAAATTAGAAGGTTAACGGATGAATGACGCACTATTTAGATAATTTCGAAATTCGAATTCTGAAGAAGGTGGGAGATTCTAGAGGATTTTAGTAAAATGTTGGCATTATTTGTTAATCGTTCCATAAGTATGAATTTGATCAAGATAATTACGGACTTGCCCGATTTTTATACACACAAATTGTTGCTAGACTTAAAAAATGACATACATCAACGGTACGATTGTAATGGTTTCTAAAGAACTAAGTTTCCCAATGAAAATTACAGTGTCTTTTTGAATTTGACGTTTAATAGCTCTTGTCCGAAGCAAAACATATCAAGCGGACAATGAGACGAAAAGTTCAAAGTTTTCTCATAGTTAAACAGTTAAAAAGCCAACAATTATACAGATTTTGTACATAATTGGGCCCGTTCTCATAGAACAAAACATAGTTTCGGACAATGGTCGGAATTAATGCAGGGTTAAAAACCTGCATTTAAGCGGTTTCACATATTTTAAAACGGCTACTTGACGACATGCGAAGTTTCGTTTTTTTCTTAANACGAAAAGTTCAAAGTTTTCTCATAGTTAAACAGTTAAAAAGCCAACAATTATACAGATTTTGTACATAATTGGGCCCGTTCTCATAGAACAAAACATAGTTTCGGACAATGGTCGGAATTAATGCAGGGTTAAAAACCTGCATTTAAGCGGTTTCACATATTTTAAAACGGCTACTTGACGACATGCGAAGTTTCGTTTTTTTCTTAAGACTCTTTTTTTTAGATTACTAAAAGATTTTAGCTCATTATGTTTTCGGGTACCCGTAATGTTGAGGAAAATGAATTTGAATATTATAATACGAATGAATTGAAAAAGTAAATCGACATTAAACTTTCGTAATTCAAGATTTATTAATGATTAAAACAAATATGGTTCTAGAATCACCAATACGAGAAACGGTCTGTGTGACAACTTTTAAAATTTCAAAATTTCTCAGAATCATAAAACGTTTATTTGTGTACCAAGACATTTTTTGTCGTTCCGTAATTCCGTCTGTTCAAATGACATTCGTATGTGTTCCTAACTAGTTCGGTAACTGTACCTATTTTATAATGAGTATTTCGACCATAAAACCGGCCATTAAAACGCTAGTTAGACCGACAAATGACGAATTCAACTTTTTAAAACATTTAAATCATCATGGTATCTGGCAATTAGAATAGGTGTGCGCGTGTAAATTATGAAAAAAGCAGATGTTTGGTGTTCTTAAAAGTTGCCATTAATATGAGCGCACCTGCTTACCGGTAATGTGGGGCGCGCAGGGTTGCCAGGCAACTGTACTGAAACTCCACATGGATGTTGTCATTAAATTAGTTTTATGTTCATGTTATGAGGTCAAACAAAAATGATTTCCGAGAATTTTTTCCAATTGACCGTATTTGGTATAACAATAGTAATTCATGTAAATATAGTATGAGATGATAAATATGTTTCTATCTACCGTCTCTTAAAGTAGTTTCTTTCTAACATTTCTATTATTAATTTACGGAATACTTTTTCAGGACTCGTTTTCTTAAGCTTTAGGGGACAGCCCTGAGCAACTTTACAAGTGCAATATGCAGGCGCAGACCTAAATTCGAAACACACATTATATCATAAGTAATGCAATCACACACGCACAGCTAACGTTCTACTGACTATGACATGCTATGTCCTAGATATGTGACAGGTAGTTGTTGACTCTTATCGACTGTTATGATATTTTTAATATAAAACAACTGTAAAAATGGAGGTATATATGAGTCGTCTATTATCAAAGGTGGCAATCTGTGCATTTGGACAAAAAAATGTTATTGATATGTCAATACAGATTGATTTGAATATAATCGTCTCCTTCAAAGAATACGGTTCAAAACCTGCATTAAATAAAGGTTAATAGTTAACCTGTTATTTATCTAAGATGTCGTTCCGAAGAGTTTTGTGACTGCCAATGGAATACAAAGTCAATAATTCGTTTTTCTGATTTACCAACAATTGTCCAAAAGTCAGATTGCCGGCTTTGATAATAGTCGACTCATATACGCTATTCGTTACGAAAAAGGTTCCCGTATATAGTTCGCCCGAGGATGCACTTAATAGTCTTATTCCTGCTAATAATTTCACGAGAAACTCCACCGTTTTAGTACAAGAGCAGCCTTCGATGAATAATTCATTTGAAATTGGAAATTACTTGCGGTTTTAGAGCAGACGTGTTTCCTTTCTTACCGCGCTTCCGATTCGTGGAGATGGTCGAGCGATCACGCGATTATGGATCTCGAGAAAAAGACCGGCGGCAACTTGCTCGCCTTTTAACCGAGAAACATTATGATGGTCGCGGATGTGACGTGTTCGAAGCGAGCAATCGATGCGATGAGACAATAATTGCACCAAACAGCTTGTCACGTATACAGGATCGTGTATGCGAGATAAACCAGTTCGACTCTGCGCGCTGAGTAAAACGTTTTTGTATTGAACAACGCGACTTCATTCATAATGTATATAGCTCCTTGAAACGCACTCGCACAATAATATCACACGCACACATACACACAAATACATCTATAAATAAACGTAAAATACATTTCGCAAATGTGAGAAGAGATGGGTCGACGTGCACCGTCTAATTAAGCTTGTCACGTTTCTCACAATAAACAAAATAAAAATGGTGAAAAATTACTAGCTTAGAATCGAATTCAAGTTTGATCCTTCGCTACAACGGTAGATGTTTCAATTTAAATTGGAACATCGCAGGATCGTCTCGTTCTTAACGGTATATTCCTTCAGTTTATAAAGTTTGCGCACACGCACACACCCAGGGGATAGTTCCCCCGTTTATTGCCATTTGAGAACGGCAAACGATGCGGGAGAACAAAAAGTCACCCGGCCGGAGTATCGATTTTTTATCGGGCCCTGACATTTCGTTGGGGCATGTAATAGCTGGTTACGTTAGTTAGGAATGCGAGATGCATTGTTGGGAAATTGCGGAGCGTAGGATACCTACGAATCGATTGGGAAAGCATCGAGTAGATACTCTAGTCGAGCGTGTATCGATGTTGAAGTGAATCATGCGATCAGCGTTCATCGGGTATGTTTTGAGATGTTACTCGTTCTTGAGCATAAATAAACATTTGTGTGTTCGCTCAACGAAACGAAAGGATTCGACTGATAGATTCATTCAGTCCTTAAGCTTTAATGAGCCGGAGCGACTGGAACTAATTTGTTTAACGTTTTTTAAATGCTCGTCGATAAAAAGTCGTAAATGGTGTGAGAACATGTAAGAACAATCTCGGTAAGTTCACACGTCAGTTTGGAGACATGCCCTAACGTAAGACAAATAACCTTGACCGGTTCATAGGGCAATGACCTAGAGTAATTATTAGTAGTTTATGATTTTCATAAGTAATTTCACAGTGAAACTTAGCATTTGAGATTTTTTGATAATATTAACTGGTTAACAGTAATTTGTAAGGAACTATGTTTCAATTAATTTTCAAATTTCGTTAATTATTTTTTAAAACACTAAACCTGCTGAGACGAATAAAGTTGGCTTTAGCGATTTCCTTTCAGATGGATTATTACTATCTCCGTCTGCGTGTCGATGCGGATTGTTCTGTGCGGACTGAGATCCACCACGAAGCCTCGGAATGTATCTAATTTTACTACGGAGGCTCGCGACCCTGTTGACCCCGCGGCCCGATCGCATTAAAACCTGAACTTTCTATAAACTATGAGCCTGTTTGTTCGGTAAACGTATTGAACACACACAGTCGCGTTTTCGACTCGAGCCGGTCACGACTCCAGCTCGGATAACCCTCACTCCCGACTATCCAGGACGATCAGACAGCCACCGCTTCGAGCTCGTGGGAAAGTGACGGTCGTGCCGACCGGCCTCCGTTGTTTATACGAAACGTCGTTAGCTACGAGCTCCGACGGGGTTACGTCGACGCGAAACGTAAACAAACCAGGATTCGCGGTTTTACGGTGTCGATGTCCGTACCTGGGGCAGAAACCCTAGCAGGGCCAAGAGCACCGCGGAGGCGCGCATGGTGCCGCGTCCGGGCTGGCGGCGCCGGGGCACACGTCGGGTACGAGGCCCGACGGTCGTCAGCACTCCGCGAAGAAAGATCCGCGGTAATCCATAACTCGCACAAATGCACTGAGCGTTTCACTTTAAGTCACACAGAGCACAAATTATCGAGATGTCACTGGTCGCTCATCGGCTGCTTCGAACCGGTCGCGGGATCGTGCACTACGTTCGAAACGCGCGCGTCGCGTGTTGTGGCGTTCTAGAGCCGTAATAACGTGTGTTAGGAACGGCGCGTGACGGCGAACTGAAGGCGGGCGGAGGCCGCGGTGCGGGCAACGCGCACCTGGCGCCTGGCNAGTCACACAGAGCACAAATTATCGAGATGTCACTGGTCGCTCATCGGCTGCTTCGAACCGGTCGCGGGATCGTGCACTACGTTCGAAACGCGCGCGTCGCGTGTTGTGGCGTTCTAGAGCCGTAATAACGTGTGTTAGGAACGGCGCGTGACGGCGAACTGAAGGCGGGCGGAGGCCGCGGTGCGGGCAACGCGCACCTGGCGCCTGGCGTGTTTGTAGCCGAGAGATGGCGCTGCGCGGCGCATCTGCCGGCTGCCCCCCGCCCGCGCGTCTCTGCCATCCAACCAGAAAATGCACGGAAAACAGCCGCGCTCTCTGCTCAACACGTGCCCGCTGGCTCACTAAAAAAACTTCGCACAAGAAACCTCTCATCTAGTTAGCTGTTTGACTAAAAGTGTTCACTCAACCATTATTTTTAATTTCGAAAACTAAGGCTAAGCTTTCAAGAGGTGCAAGACATATTGAGATATTAATTAAATTGAGATTCATGTCTATGGACTTTAGTAACAGCTTAATACCAGGTGGGCCGTGAACTCGTTTACTCATCTGTGTAATAAAAACATGATGTGGACAGTATAGAAATGATCACGACTTCTGATACTTCTAATATGTACCTACGTTGATGTCTTAGATGTTTCTTAAAGATAACTTGAAAAATTATTCTAGTTCAAGTCTTACCATATGACTATTCAACTATTTATAAAGAGCTTTATCGTGTTTTGTAAACAAAACCAAAATGGCTAATCCTCTTTTGCTATAATTTCGGTGTTGGTAACATAATATATACCTAACTCATACGAAAATAAAAAATTATATTCTTCTACGTAAAAAGTCAGAACAGGAAACAGGATGCACTAAACAGACGAGGGCCGAGTGCATTGCGTGATGATAACGTTTACAGATGCAAATTTTTGGTAAATCTAAAATTACTGTATTGGCAGCTGTCTACCCGATAAGAGACTTGATAAGCTTATTCACGAAAACGTGCGACGTATTCAGTGTAAAAGAATTAATTAATTTTTTAAACGAATTCAAAACCCATTCAGTTTTTAGCTTTTATCAGTATACGAGGTTTTTTAATGAGTTTAAAATCAAAGCGGTTTATCAGTAAATGAAATTGAGTTAGAAACGTTCCCACTAACGTTCGAGATTTAGTAAAATTAATACGTAAAATCATAGGTACCTAATAATTTAAGTCACGAATCCGGCAGAAAAATTATGAAATATATTATTAATTCTCTCTCACACCTAATTACGGGCCTGATTTTATTCTGATGTTCAACTTAGCTTAAAGGAACAATTACATTTTGATATTCCGTATTAATTTTGATCTTTTTATTTTACGCCCTCTAGCTGTAAAGGACCGGTAGCAGATATTTTTATTTTAATAAAATACAATTTACAACATCCGCAATGTTGTTTTTTTAATGTGTGTTTTTATTAAATAAAATAACTTAGGTTATTAAAGGAAATTATATAGTCTTTATTGTTATACATTTCGCATAGATAGATTGTTATGTCATTTTAAAAGCACATTTCTTTGGATGGTGAATTCAAATTATTTCTTATCTTTTGATTTATTAGCTTATTAAATATTCATTGGAGATTTTTAATGTGTGAAAATTTTCGTGAGTTAAAATAAAATATCTTAATTTGTAATTTTATTTTTAAGTAGACCTTCAAATAACAAGTTATGTGTCTGTCTAATGTTATTAAAATTTTAACAGAAGCTTTGAAAAATATCGGGTAAATTACTATTGAGTAGCTACAATTAGCTATTTGAGCTAATTGAGCTATTTGATATTAAGATAACTGATAAATTTTTGCTCTGTTTGGGTTTATTAAAACGCCCTCTGCCTTGAGACATGAGCTCAAAGTCTCAATAGAATATTTTAAGTGTTACTACTTCGCGGCAGAAATAGGCAGAATAGTGGTACCTACCCCGTGCAGGCTTACGGCACGCCCTACCCACTCCCGACCCACTGCGACGAAGGGCTCGACGAGCGAATTAACCCATAGACACAGCCCACTGAGTTACTCGCCGGATCTTCTCAGTGGGTCGCGTTTCCGATCCGGTGGTAGATTCTGCGAAGCACTGCTCTTGCTAGGGTCAGTGTTAGCAACTCTCCGGTTTGAGCCCCGTGAGCTCACCTACAAACGTTAGGGTGAAGCTGAAATAGCCTCTCAAGGCTATCAGCATAGGTAGGAAAAGAAAAAAGAACCCACACATGTCTTGTATAAGTGGTTAATTAGCGAAATTCACTCGATGATATTTATGGTCTCTGGAAACCTCTACTTACTTCTAGCTGCAAGATGAGTTTGTCTGCCCTATTAGAACGATAAAAACATTATAATATACACATATGATTAAATTGATTACTGTAAAAAAAATATCTATGTGTACAAATACTATAGCCGCTGTTTCACTGTATTAAACATCTTTACTAATACATTGCATGTCACATGTTTATCAGAAAAATACATACGCAGTTACGTTATTGGTTAAAGTTATATAAATACTAGCTGCCACCCGCGGCTTTGCTTGCATGGTCAAAGAAAAGTATCTGTGTAACTTTTCGGTTCAAATGAGATTTTTTTTTTTCGGATAAAATGTAGCCTATGTCACTCTTCTGAGCTAATATTATCATATTTTCTTTTAAAGCATGTCAATATGTTGCTTTGTTTCGACGTGAAAGAAGGACAAACAAACAAATAAACTTTCACATTTTTAATATTAGTAATAATGGAAGTATGGATTTCGTATGCTCCCTATTAATTTACACTTATACTACAAATAGGGCAGACTATTTGAAATATGAATTGGCCAGTCTACATTTCGCGTGAGTTAGAACAATAGAATAAAGAATGCATAGGGCTGCCAAAGAAGTTATAAAAAACTCTTAATCTATTTCAAATTAATATCATAAAACTGATAAAACTAAAATAGTTTTGGGTTAAAATTTTAAAATATTTTTAAATTACTATATTTCTTTTTTTTTCTTTTTTAGGTGTGTGGACGAGCTCACAGCCCACCTGATGCTAAGTGGTTACTGGAGCCCATAGAAATCTACAACGTAAATGCGCCACACACCTTGAGATATAAGTACTAAGGTCTCAGTATAGTCACAACGGCTGCCCCACCTTTCAAACCGAAACGCATTTCTGCTTCACGGCAGAAATAGGCAGGGCGGTGGTACCTACCCGCGCGGATCACAAGAGGTCCTACCACCAGTAATTACGCAAATTATAATTTTGCGGGTTTGATTTTTATTACACGATGTTATTCCTTCACCGTGGAAGTCAATCGTGAACATTTGCTAAGTACGTATTTCATTAGAAAAATTGGTACCTGCCTGCGGGATTCGAACACCGGTGCATCGCTATGTACGAATGCACCGGACGTCTTATCTTTTAGGCCACGACGACTTCAGGTTCTGTTCATCTTCTAATTCATGGGTCTAATTATCTCTATTTCATTTATTTTATAATAATTTTCTAGTGGTATCTTAAAACTGAACTTCTTGCAGATTTATCTGTCTAAAAATGTCATTGTATTTTTCGATTCTTATTGGATTTATTTATTTGCATATATGGGTCGTTTAGTATTGAGCCTGATTGATACCTGAGCATGAATACGTGAACGCCGCCTTCCAGATGGACATATGAGGTTATGACTCAACAGGCAGTGTGGTATCTGCCCATGTAGACTCAGATATTATTAATAAAGGAAAGATCATTAACCGTGCCCACGAAAACTATGAAAATATCTAATGGATATAAAAAATTAACGTGATCAGAGCGTGAGCATATATTTGAAGGATGAATTAAGATATGTACTATACTTAAAATTATTATTATTAATTGTATTTTCATTCAATTTTTTTCTTTTATTAGGCGTACGAACTCACGGCCCACCTGGTGTCAAGTGGTTACCAGAGCCCATAGACATCTACAACATAATTGCTGTCACCCACCTTGAGACATGAGTTATAAGGTCTCACTTTTAACAGCAAAACGGCTGCACCACCCTTCAAACCGAAACGCATCACGGCAGAAATAGGAAGGGTGGGGTACCTACCCGTGCGGACTCCCAAGAGGTCAACTATTGCACTGTCGATTGCAACTATAATTAAGGTGACATCTGTCATGTACTTTGTCAATTTGTCAATGTTTTTATTGATGATCACCTTGATAGTGCAACTAAATAAATAAATAAATCTTAGTAAATACTAAACTTAGTTGATCATGAGTGTAAGTAACTATTCGATGCCACCCCTACGCGTGTTAACAAAGGCACCACACCCTACGGTCACGCCTTATTCAGCACGTACGGTATCACTACCGGCTTCAGACCCTGACATAGAAATTATTAAATCTTCATGAAATAATTGTTTCTTATTGATTTTATTACGTTAATTCCGTTTGTAAAACGGCGTTGAAGTTGATTTACGGCTTAGTTCACACGAATCGATAATTAATGTCGTGATAGAAAAAAAATATGTCTGAGAATTCTAGATCGTTCGTTTTGCACTAATAATAAATCGAATCGAAAAGTTTTGAAATTTTAATTGGATTTTTGAAAAAAAAAAAAGAATAAGTTCCGTTATATTTGAAATTATCCGAGTTCTCAACTCCGCTCGTAATAAAAATATAATTTAGAATATTTCAGTTTATAAACCTTATATATTAGAGGTATTCAATTATAATAATTTTAGACAATTTTGCTAGTAAATAAATTCGAGGATTACTTAATTTAACGTGTGGATAATAATTCCTATTACATTTTAAAATTCAACGTATAGCCGTTTGAATATTCAAAGATGAGAAATGAACAGGAAAGGAACAGAATTTACTTTTTTATCGGACAATTACAAATCTTTTTATATCATTTCTCGGCCGATGGGTTCTCGTTTCCCTAGAAAGTGTTACAGT